CTAGGCAGATGGCCCTCTGTGCCTGACCTCGGGGACTGGGTTGGGGAACCACATTGCCCCCTGCGGGGAGGTCCAGGCACCCCCGGGTCCCTCTTCCTCCACTACCAGGCTCGCGCTTCCCACAGCTCTACCCTGGGGAGCGAGGCGGAGCTGGTGGATGGATTCACCTACTCCATCTCCCTGGACCTGGGGCAGGCTGCCTACACCCCAGGACCCCATTCCAAGCCTGGTAACCTGCCAGGGCCCTCCCAGGGCTGCCCCACGAGATTGGCCAACAGACCCACTCCGGAGGGCCTGGAACCTCGATCCCGGGGGCACCCCGTGCCGCTCCTTGCTCGCACCCCAGGGGGCTGGGGGCTCTCGGGTGAGCTGCAAACCTCCCTCACCCTGGTGGGTCCTGGGTTTCCCACTGACTATCTCCCTGCTGCCCCCCTCAGCGTGAACCTGAGCCAACTCGCCATGGGACTGAGGTCCCCAGGCGCAGGGCTCCCCGGACAGGCGTGAGGAGGAAGGGGAGAAAGCGCACCGCACGCATGGAACCGGCCCCAAACACCAGCCGGGGCGCTCCCGAGGCCACCCATCCTCCCGAGGACGCTGACCAGCCGACCACGGACCAGCGGCTCCCCAGGTGAGCACCCACCCCCTCCTCGGCACAGTCAGGCCTCTGCCCACAGCCCGCGGTGTCTTGAGTGTCCCCACATGTGTCTGAGCCTCTGCGTGCTGCTTTGACAGGCAGGGTGGCTGGCGGTCAGCCTGTTAGGGTACCTTGGGGAACATGGAAGGGGCTTAGAGGGGCTCCCCTGGCGCCCCACAGGGTAGAAAGGACTACAGGCCAGGCTGGGCCACTTCGGTGCTTACCTCTCTGTACTCGATGAAAAGCCTTTGGCCTCACCTGTCAGTGGCCTGGAGCCTGGCTCATTTGGAAAAGCACATGGGAAGCAGCCTTTTGGAACAGAGGCTCACGATTCCCTGTGGCTGGGCCCGGTCTTTGTCCTCACTGTGGCCACGTGGGGGACCTCTGGGGACAGCAGAGGGTACCTGGGCAGGTTCAGGTAGGGCTTCCTTCAGCAACAATAGGGAATGAAGCACCCACTTGGTGCGGACCTTTGGGGACACTTAGCATAACTCACTGAAGGAAACAGATGCAATACTGGGACCCCATCCCGGGTGGACTCAGTCAATCACTTCAGGCGTCATCCTCAGGTCATGGCCGGGGAGTGTCACAGGTGATGCCCTCTTGGCCTCTTCCAGTAACGGGGGGCATGACGAGGGGCCAGAGGAGAAATTGAAAATATAAGCATTCACTGGGTCCAGAGAGGGTGCTGCCCATCTCACAGAATGGGGGGAGGAGGCACTTGGGGCTTTCGGCAGGGGGCGCACAGCAGAGCCCAGCAGGTCACTCATCTTCGGATTCCCATGGGCGGGCTGACAAGACTGGGGACTTCCTACTTGGGAGGATGGGAGAGGATGGGGTCCCAGGAGAGACACGCAGGGTCAGGAAGGGGGAGGGGCAGGTGCCGGGACAGGCAGGGGAGTGCACAGCGGCCAGGCCCACACAAGGGTGGGCAGGGAGGGCAGTGTGGCTGGAAGGACCAGGCTTCTCACTCTGCCACCCTCTGGCCTTCCCCCAGCCCCAGGATGGGACGGGCTGGGTGCCTTGCCTGGGAGCCCGAGCATGTGCCCAGGGTCCACCATGACAGCCAGCCTTCATCTACCCTGGAGGATCAAGTCCACCACCACTTGGTCCAGGAGATGTACCTGGGGCCCACAGTGGCAGAGCTGCAAGGTGAGGGGCTGCAGCCAGGGGACCATCCAGGGTGGGCTTCCCGGACTGAGATTCCCTTCAAGGCCATGAGGTCTCTTCTGTCCTTGGTAAGGTGTGGGGGTTATCAGGTCTGGGGTGACCCTTTCTCTGTATCCTGCTCCAGCACTACGTTGGAAGAGACCGAGGTGGCACGCCTGGTATCTCTTGTACAACCACTATCTACAGTCAGTTCAGGAGCTCCCTGAGACCCCTGTGCTGGAGCTACAGCCGGCGTCACGTGCTTCAGTCTCTTCAGAGCCGGGGGATGTCCCAGCAGTGGCCTCAGTACCCGTGCTAGCTGCGAGCACCTGGGACATCCCAGGAGTGGTCTCAGGCCCCGAGCTGGAGCCCCATGATCCCTCGGGCCCAGGGCCCAGGGCACCTGCCGGAATGGCACTGGGCCAGGGAGAGCCAGACGTGGGCCTTGAACCCACCAGCCCCTGTGCCGCGAGCACCCAGGACATGTGGAGGAAGGAGGAGCCGCCCATCCTGGTGTTTCCTCCCCGCCTGGTGGCCGAGCAGCTGACCCTGATGTGTGCGGTGAGCAGAGCTGGCTCTCCGGGTCGGGGGTGGGCCTTCCCTGTGTCACGGGCTGCCCCAGACCTGCCCTCCCCTGACGTGGACTCCTGTGATCTGGGCCCACGTCCCAGCTTCCCTACGGACTCATCCTGTGCACTGAGAGACTCTCCTCACCCCCAAGCCCTCACTGACCACACGGGGACAGTAGGGCCGGCCCTTAGGGATCCTTGGAGACCAATGAGGAGGAGTGGAGGGAAGGTGGACAGGGCCTGGCCGGGCTGCGAGGGGCAGGGCAGGGGAGGGGTGCTCAGGGAGGTGCTGCCAGGGCCTAAGGTCCTCGGGCCATTGGCCGGGCAGGCCTCCGCGGCCTCTGCACCTCGGCAGCCCCTGCCATGGACCTGACTAAGTGGAAGACACAGACACCAACAAAGGCCCTGGGTGGAGGTGTTTCGGGGGTAACTGCACCTGAGTGGGGAGCGGGATCCACGGGGTGGCAGCATGGGAGGCAGATGCCCCAGGCTGGGCAGGCGTGAGCTGCCTTGTGCTGCAGGGAGGAGGTGAGTGAGGGTGCCTGCGAGCAGAGCCCCTCCGTTCCCCACCATGCTCTGCATCCAGTTCACAGTGCCTCAGTGGATGCAGTCCAAAGCCCAGATGGCCACACCCCCAGCTGCCTGGGCTCCAGCTCTGACTGGTGACTGCCTGGCACAGGCGCATAGCTGGATGACCCCTGCTTCTCATGCCCAGGAGCTGTTCATGAAGGTGCGCTATTCTGAATGCCAAGCCTACCTTTGGCACCAACCACAAACAGGAACCATTGAGCACATCGCTCCCACCATCCATAAGGTCATGAAGCAGATTGAAGCTACGGTCAGGTTGGTCACCACCTCCTGCCTTGGGACCCCGAGCATGACGGCCCAGGACAGGGCACGAGTGGTGGAATTCTGGATCCGGGTGGCCGAGGTGAGTCATGGGACGGCCCCTGGGGTCCATCCTCGCGTCTTGGGACCTGCTCCCCTCCTTGGCCAACTCTTAGGGTGGGTGCCTGCGGTGTGCCCTGCACAGTCCCTGGGCCCTCCTGCCAGGGCCATGTGGACCTGGACTCGCAGGCCCTGGTGGGGGTGACAGCCATCCCTGGCCCCTTCCTTGGGTTGAGCCACAGTCCTCCACCCAGGAGGGCTGCTCAGCAGGTACCAGGTGTGCTGGGCTCCCTGGGTGTGTGTCTCCTTAAGGACAGGAGTTCATGGGGGGACAGAAGCAGAGAAGCAGGCCACGCTCTCAGCTCTGTCTTCCCTCCCAGGAGTGCTGGTACCTCAGGAACCACGCTGCCCTCCATGCCATTGTCTCGGCCCTGCAGCGCCCTGCTATTCATCATCTGGACAGCACCTGGGGTCATGTGTCCTGGTGGGTAGGCCTGTCCCCGGGACCAGGGCACCTGAGTGGACAGGGACACACCTACATCTGGCAGTGTCCCTCAGTGTGCTGGGACATCCTGGGAGGCGGCAGAGCCTAGGAACAGTGATGGAGGCTCTTGGGGCCCCTTGTGGGTTAGGCCACGGGTTCCCCCACAGGAATCAGTTTCCTCCAATATCAGGTGTGGGGTGAAGCCCATTGGAGATCTGGAGCTTGTGCTCTGCAGCAGGAGGTCTCTGCCCCAAGGACGGCGACCTGGCCCAAAGCAGATTCGCGCCCGGGAGAGCAGGGAATGGAGGCCCCGGGTGGAAACACGCAGCCCCTCCCCAGGCCACGGATTCCCAGGGCTCAGGGCCGTGGTGGGAAGCCTCCTGCGGGCTAGTGGGCCTTCTAGGATCCCCGGGAAAAGGGGTCGGCCCCGAGACTCTCCGCCTGCTGGCCGCATGTGTCCCTCCTCCTCTCCCCTCCCCATAGGAAGAGCTCCTGGATCTACAGAAAACTTAAAAAGAGGGACAAGGGGGTTAAAAGGAAGCAGCTCCTCGAGGTAAATGGGGGCTGGAGGTCTGGAAGGGAGGGGTCCTTGGGCAAATCCTCTGCCATGCTGCGGCCCAGCCTTGGGGCAGACTTGAGTTGTGCGGGGTGGGAGGGGGAAGCTGATGGGGAAAGTAGGGTCCCCCAGGTCCCCGAGGGCTTCATCTGTCTCCCTCCCTGGCTCCACTTGACTGGGCGCCTGGCATCTAGTGAGGACCCAGGGGACAGCCCCCCGTCAGGGCTGGGGCTGGCGTGGGGTTGGCAGCAGGGTTGGGGCCTGTGGCCGAGCAAGGTTGGCTTGTCCCCTGGGTCCCTTGAGCCTGTCACGGCCCCTCTGTGGCCTCAGCTCCTCATGTGCATATGGAGGGTTGCCGTCACCCTGGGGTGCGGGTCTCCCAGGTGAGCAGGGCCCACAGAACACAAGATAGGCTTCAGCTTTGTGTCCCCCACAGTCATGTGAGGGGAGCCATGCTGATAGCCGGGTGACAGTGGGTGCTCAGGGCACCCTGGGAGGCAGAGGGACCTCCCCTGACCCTCTCAGGGCGGTGGCCATGGCCCAAGGACACACATGAGTGTGAGTGTGTGCTGGAGCTGGGGTCGCTCTGGGCTGAGAGCCTGCTGGAGGTGGGGACAGCGTAGGTGCCAGGGGGCTCGGGCAAGGCGTCCACCCACCACGGTCTGGCTGCGGGAGGCACGTGGGAGGGGAGCAGGAGCACCTGAGTGTCCGGGGCCTTGCAGGAGGCGAGGGCCATCGTGAAGCAACAGCTGTGGGCCGTCAGGGCATCCCAGGACGTGAAGAAGCAGGTGAGCACGGCGCGGGTCACGGGCGGTGGGGGCGACCCTGCACCTGCTCCTGGTGCCACCAGCCCTGAGCTGCCGGCACTGGGGTGACCAGGAGGAGGGCGAGAGCAGCTGGGTACAGGGGGAAGTTGGAGGGCAGGTGCAGGGCCCACAGGGACCAGGAGGAGGGCGAGAGCAGCTGGGTACAGGGAGAAGTTGGAGGGCAGGTGCAGGGCCCACAGGTCCTGGGAATGGCCGAAAGCCAGCCCTGGGAGGGACCAGGAGGGGAGAGCAGGGCGAAGGGAGTGGGGGAGGCCGCACAGGGTGGTCCAAGGGAGCTGGGGGCTGCGGTGTGGGGTTCAGGGGAGGCTCTGTGGGCGCCCCTGAGGCAGGCGGGGCCTCATCTCCTCCCCACCCTGGTGGCACAGGGCATGGTCCCATTCCTTGGAGTGTTTCTGGATGACCTGCTCGCAGACCAACTCCCGGAACATGATGAGGAAGTGAGTGAGCCCAGAGGGGCACAGGGGGGCAGGATGGTGAGCTTTAGGGAGGAGAGGGCCTCAGTGAGCCCGGACCTCTCAGCACCGGGCCACCCCCATTCCTGAGAGTCTCCCCTCCACCTCAGGACGTGGGCTTCTTGGAGAGGACTGCCAGAAGGACCCACCTAAGCCCCAGTCCTGGCCCCAGGGCAGGTGGGGCTGAGGGCTCCAGCGGGCAGCACCTGGGCAGGACTGGTCTCCCCCTCAGGCCCTGCCCAGGGGGAGGGATGCTGCTCCTTCAGGGCAGGAAGCACATGGGGTGGGGGGGGGCTGGCAGTGCCTTCCCGCCTGAGGCCTCAGCTCCCCGGTGCAGTCCCCGCTTCTCGGTAGCCCGGATCCCGGGCCAGGCCCGGGTGCTGTTTCTGGGCAGGCCTGCCCCTTGGAGGGCCCTGGCGGTCCTCCACCTTGAGAAAGGGTGGGGACGTTCCGGCCTCGTTCTGGGCTCAGGGGGCTGTTTCCAATGTACTTTGGCTGCCTGGCTGCCTTCCAGGATGATGGGATGAGAGAGAGAGCATCTAGTGCCCAGCCAGCAAAGGTGAGGGATGGAGTCCAGACGCCCTGGGCAGGACCCTGTCTGGTCCATCCCCTGGGTCTAACGTGTCTTGACAGAGTTGAGACATGCAGAGCTGAGGACACTAAAGGCTTTGTCAGGTGGGGGGTGGGGGTGGCATCAAGGCCGCCTTCCTGGAGGAGGAGCTGGAGACCCAACAGTGGGAACAGGCAGGCCTGGATGGCACTGGAAGGAAGGTGTGTTCCTGTGTGAGCAAAGATCCGGGACCATCCCAGTGCCCACTCCTCACCCCCCTCCTTGTCTGCATCCTGTCCTTCCTCTGCCCCAGGTCACTAACATCCTATATCAGATCATGATGCACAAGCGCGTGGCCAGGCTGTATGACCTGGAGCCCGATGAGCGCTTCCAGTCCTTTCTCCAGACAGTGGAGCTCCTGGATGAGGAGCAGAGGTGAGGCTGCCAGGAGTAGGGTGTGGGCTGCAGCTGCCCGCAGGCTGTGGGAGAAGGGACCCTGACGTGTGGCTCCAGGGCTCACAGGTGTCCCTCTGTCCTGCAGCTACACCCTGTCCTGCCAGCTGGAGCCCCCAGGCCAGGGACCCGGCAGAAAGGGAGCGTTACAGTTATTCAGGTCCCACGTTTAAACGTCCTGGCCAGGGCCAGGTGAGTTTCTGGGCTGGGGCGATCGGCAGCGGGTGGGCTGTTCCCCAGCCTCAGGGAAGCTTCGGGCCATGCTGGGTGTGGGGGCGTCCTAAAGATCAATGGGGCTGGGGCCCCAGCTCCACTGCCGACCAGTCCTGTCAGACTGAAGGGTGGTTCCCTTCCCCTCTGGGACCCCGTTTCCTCCTCTGTGAGTAGGTGACACCCAGGAGCCTTCCCGTGACAGGGACCCCCCCCCCCCCCCC